GGCTGAGCGAGGCGCGGGGGCAACGCCGAGGGTTGCGATCCCGTTGCCGGACATGGAAAAAAAAAAAAGACAAAAAAAAAAAACAAAAAAACTTTCATCAAAGTTAAAACAAAAGAAATTATGGACAGAATATTCTTCAGGTGCATGATATTTATACATAATGATTATCTGAAAATTTGCAGTCTGTTTTAAAAATGGTACATAAAACAAAGACATAGTTCATAAAATTCAGTGGTTTTTTTTCCATGTGAGCTTGCTTGAAAATTTTAAATTGAGTTTTTTGGGTTTTTTGTGGATTTTTGTTAAGAAAAGCTAAAATAAAGTCAAATTAGCATAAAGTTATCTTAAGCTTTTAAAAAAATCATCTTTCAGTCTCAAAAAACCCAAAAAGGTATGTAATCTTTAAAAATAAGCACCCACTGGAGGGATTTGGAAACTGAAGGTTTCAATATGTAAAAAGAGAAAAAAGCTAAACACACAAAGCAAAATAGAATTCATATTTAGATTATCAAATTTTTCCTTTAATCTTTCATCTAAATAAGAGAAAACTGATGGATGGATAACTGGAATTCACTAGTATTCGGTAGAGTCAAAATTTATCAAAGAAGTAAGTTCACATTTTTGCACAGAATAGAACTTCCCACGTTCTCAGTACTTGTCTATTCATGATAAACCAAAAGCACAAGATGATCTCTTCATAGCATAATTAGTTTAAAAGACATTTTCTTGTGTTTAAATGTTTTGTTTATACTTGTATGATAAAGAAGAGTCACTCGTAACACCTTCTTCATTATTAGTCACCTTGACTTAGTTGGTGGGCAAGGGTGTCATTAAACTTAAGGCAGGCATAACAAGTTTGCAAAGTTCCAGCTGATGAGATTCTCAGTTTTCTGCATTTTGCAGCTGACAATCATTGCCAGTTTTCTTTTCTGGTAATATATCTAGCAGAGACACAAAGATCAGAATTTTGCTTTCCAAGTTCATCGCTGCTTGTTCTTGACACTTTTCAACAGTGCGGATTTGGTATCGAGTTTTCCAAAATCATATTCTGCTGCTATGGAAAGAGGGAGAATGTAATCTGAATATTGGTTCTCCAAGGCTAGCTCATTCAGTGTCTTAAAAATAATTTTTTAAAATTGAAACATAATTGCTTGTACATATATGTGGGGTACCACATTGAATATCAATTCCTGTGTGCAATATGTAACACTCAAATCAGGATAATAAGTATATTCAACATCACACAATGTAATCACTTTTTGTGGCCCTTTACCAACTTCTCGGTAACACCCCTCTCCCTCCCCCACGTCTGGTGGCCTCAGTTCTGTTCTCTTCTTTTGAAAGTTCAACAAATTGTGATTGTCGTATCTTTCTTTCTGTTTTTATTGTTTATTAATTTATTTTATTATTATTATTATTATTATTTTTTGTAGGTCACACTTATGAGTGAGGACATGCAGTATTTTTCTGTGTCTGGCTTATTTGACTGAACGTAATTTTCTTTAAGCTCATTCATGTTGTTGTGAATGGCAGCATTTCATTCTTTTTCATGG